ATATAAACACAAGTTAATGTTACCCCAGGTGTTGATATCTAAAAAAAAAGACAAAAAAAAAACAACAAAAAACTTTACAGAATGTTTAAATTGAAAAAATGGGAAGATATGATATATCCTGGAATAGTTTGTCAATTATTTGGCCAGTATATTTCACCTGAAAATCCACTTCTCAATCTTGAGTCTCAAACAATAGTAGTTGCAAGACCCAGAACCATTTAAATATTTAAATATTTAAATATTAAATATTTAGGGACAATCTGGCAAACACTAACCACCTATTAGGGTCAGAGTGGTATAAAAAAGAAAGAAGCTGACATTGGTTTGGGCATTTGTTAAGCACAAAATAAGTGTTTGCCTATGTTCTCATTTAAACCTCACAATCTCCTTTAAAATGCCTGTTAATTATTCCCATTTAGAGATTAAGGGAAATAACTTGCCCAAGGTCAAATAGCTGATATGTACCAAAGCCAAGATTCTAACCATTCTGACTCTTAAAATCTTTTTCCACTCTACTTCACCCTGTACCAACTATAATTTTTAGCTTCAAGAAACAGACTTTATTCTGACAAGGTAGAGTAAATAAAAGGTCTTATTCATGTTTATATGCCCCATATTCTATGGCATAGTGTCATCTGCATCTCAATTTTCAATAAATAGCAATCAGAATTGCTAGAAGCAAATACATAACCATTATATTTCAAGAAAAGGGGGATGGGAGGAAAGAAACCAGACACTGTAATACAAGATATCTAGTACATCTTATCACTTGTACACCGACAAACGCATTGATTGTATATTTGCTTCCTAGTGTAACATCAAGTGTTACACTACAACCTTAATAGCTGTTAGCCTAAGGTATCAGCTTTCCTTCTATACTCGGCCACACTGCTTAAGATTAGATCTACTTGTCTTTCACTCTAGTTGCTGCAAAGCAGCGAATTGTTCAGAAAGGACAAGGCTTCCTTAGATGAATGACTGTCCTTAGATCTCGAGGTGCTGCCTCAATCATTCACCAAATATTTATTGAAGGCCTACTCTGGCTCAGGAACTAGGTTAGGCATTATTTGAAAACGCAGGTTCTAACTTGACAGAATGACTCACGGTGCCTTGTGACATAAATGCCTACAGGCTAAGGTGGACCCCTTTTAATATGATTCTCAAATCTCACTTCTCAAAAGGGGAATAGAAGTTCTTGGTTTTCCCCAAATAGTAGAAAGGAATCTGAGTACAAGCCTAAGTTAAGGAAATCTTGTCTCAAGCTGTTCAGGGGAAGTTCATTGGGGATAAAGGAACATGTTTTAAAAGCTCTACTCTCATTGTTAGAACACACTCATAAATACACACACCAAAGACCTGTATGCTTCCCAGCCAGCAGTGCCCAGTTTTGTGAGAACAAAGTACCTACACTGGGGCTTCTCCTTCAAGCAGGTTCAAGGACTGTGGAGGTAGAATACCAGCTCTCTGAGAGCTCCTGTCTAGACCAGACCCCTAAACAAAAGCTTAAATTACATGTGGACGGGTAAACCGAATAAAGAAAAATACATTCTTATTTTAACATAAAGGAGATGTGTTTTTATTTACCATAAAAATCTGATGCTACATTCAAAAATAAAATTTTTAAATATTGTTTTAGAAAAAAATACTTCATTGAAACACTTCAAAATCAAAAAAGGGGGAAAACTCTATGTTAGGAACTGTTAATAATACATAAAGCACATTAAGCATCATAATTTTGGATGGGTGTTTTTTAGGACAAGGTATGCAGGCCCGCGATCGAACCACTGAGAACACCAGCCAGGGGGAGGCAACCTTGAAGGTAGGTCCCCTCACCCTGGGGGCCATTTTTCCTGTTTCTGTTTTAACTTTATCTTACCTGAAGCTCTAGGCAAGGAATTCCCTTAACTCCCCTCATTCTGACTCACCCTCATAATTATGTGTCTGTTTCCCACATGCAGCTGCCTAGAGAAGGGAAGACTTCACTGGCCACACTTGCAAGTTTTACATCTGTAATTGGCATCCATTTTCATACAGTGGTTTTATGACCTTGGTTTCGGCGATCCACCCGGAGATGTGCTCTCCATTTACTGATGAAATTGGTGTCTGAGCCTGTAATCCTGCAAATCATCTGGACTATATAGTACATTCTCCCAAGTAATGGAACCTCCCAAGGCCTCTTGGGAAGCAGCCAAATGACTCTCCAGACAACACCTCTCTCCAGTGATGAGAAGCCAAGGGAACTATCTCCCCCTTTTAAAAATTTCCACACTTAGAATTAATATTGCAGTTTTTACTTCAAAAGACCAGTTTAATACAGTAAAACCAACAATTTCAAGTGAATCATAGCTGTGTTAGACATTCTGAGCATCTAACAAACATGCTAGCTAAAAAAATAAAAGGTATGATTTTTTAAGAGCTTCACTTAAAGTGGGGGAGGGGAGCTATTATGGATTTTAAAAATTTAGACATACCAACCAAATGCGGCGACTGTGTTAGGCAGAATAACAGCCCCCATTCCCCCCAAAGATGTCCTTGTCCTTAGTCCCAAAACCTGTGCATTACCTTACATTGTAGGAGAGACTTTTCTAGTGATTAAGTTAAAGGGCCTTGAAATGGGGAGAGCAGCCTAGGTTATCCAGGTGGGTCCATTATAATCACATGGGTCCTTAAAAGCAGAGAACCTTTCCCAGCTGGGCTCAGAGGGAGCTGTGACTACAGAAAAAGGGTCAGAGAGATGCAACAGAGCTAGCTCTGAAGATGAGCGTGGACTGTGAGCCAAGGAATGCTGCCTCCAGAAGGCAGTGCAGTTTATTTCCTGGAACATCCAGAAAGGAACATGGCCCTGTTGGTACCTTGATTTTAGCCCAGTGAGGCCCATGTCAGACTTCTGACCGAAAGAACTGGTAAGATAATGATTTTAAGTCACTAAATTTACAGGAACTTGTTACAGCAGCAATAAATACTAATACACAAACTCAAAAAGATACTTTGAGACAAGAGATTTAAGCAGGAATTGGGTATTAGATGGAATATTAAGGAATTAAGTGTTAATTTTTGTTAGGGTATAACAGTATTTGAACTACCTTTTTAAAAACTTTTTGTTAGAGATACATATTGAAGTATTTATAAATAATACAGTATCTGAAATTTGCTTGAAAATACTGCCCCTCTCCCCCCTAAAAACAGTGGGAAATAGGTAAGATGGTTAAGTTAGCAAAAGGTTGATTATCGAAAGTGAGGGCTCACGATACTATCCTTATTGTGCATACTTGAGATTTTCTATAGTAATTTAAAAAAACCAGTGAATTACCTTAGCAGATACCACCTGACCACTAAAGATCAGCACTGTCCAAAATAATTTTATGATAATGAAAATGTTATGTATCAGCGCTACTCAGTGCAGGAGCCACTTAATCATGGGGCTACTGAGCACCTGAAATAGAGCTAGTGTAATAGATAACTTAATTTTAATTAGCTAAATAGCCCCATGTAGCTAGGGGCTACCATATTACACAGTGCAGCTCTAGATATTGGAGGGAGCCATGCAGCCTTAGTATCAGGATTCAGTTAATAAGCAAGCTCATGAATCAAGTCAGTGCACTTCTGTACTTTTTGTCTGCCCAGCCTCTTTCCTTTTCCTGCTAATAGCAGTACCCAGCTCCCACTCCCCACTCCAAGCCCTTCTTTACCAGGGCTAGGGCTTGAGATCCTGGCTACAGGACAACTTCTTCCTGGCCAGTGTTTGGTCCAAGAATGACCAGAGCCAGGGCAATCACGGTCCTCACTTGGAATTCTCTGTATTAGGAAGTGAAGCAGCTTCCTCGATTAGGAGTTAAATGGATGGAACCCTACAGCTACTTGCCATCACGTTCCCTTGACATACTGAGGTTCCTGAGAGTCAAGCCAAAATTTAGATAAAGATGGAGTCTGTATTCTCAAGTTCTTCTTTCCCTTGTTTCAGTTAGATAAGCCAATAAATGTTTTTGTTTATGCTATTTTTGAGTTAAGTTCTATCACTTGCAACCTATAAAAGTCTTAATACAAAATCCCATAAAAATGCTTCTTAGCCCTGGCTGGTGTGGCTCAGTTGGGAGGGCATAGTCCCTCGCACTGAAAGGCTGCCAGTTCAATTCCCGGTCAGGGCACATGCCCAGGTTTCGGGCTCGATTCCCGTGCAGGAGGCAGCCTATGGATGTTCTGCTCTCACATGGATGTTTTTCTCTCCTTCTCCCTTCCTCTCTCTGTAACACACACACACACACACACACACACAAAACACTTACATGCCAGGGTCATTAGCAAAATAGTAAGGCTAATGGCACTGCAATACAGACTGAATTGTGTCCCTCTAAAATTTGTATGTTGAAGCCCCATCTGGCTGTACTAGAGATTAGGGCCTTTAGGGAAGGGGTTAAGGCTAAATGAGGTCATAAGGGTGGAATCCTGATTCGACAGAAGTGCTGCCCTTTTAAGAAGAGGAAGAGACAACAGAGCTCTCAGCCATGTGAGGACACAGCGAGAAGGCAGCTATCTGCAATACAGGAAGAGTCCTCACCAGAACCTGACCATGCTGGCACCATGATCTCGGACTTCCAGCCTCCAGAACGGCGAGAAAAGAAATCTGTTGTTTAAGCCGCCCAGTCTATGACATTTGCTAAGGCAGCCCGGCAGACTAACACAGGCACCCAGTACAACCGCCCAGGTGCCGATTACAACCAGTTCCTTCTTCAGGGTGAAGCAGACCCTGATTAGCAAAAATAGTGATATGTTAATACTTTATTCTTCTTCTCCCATTCTTGATTTCAGCTTAGACTGGAGTAGCTTTTCAACTAGTTTTTTACCTTGTTAAATAACAAAAAGATCAGCACAGTTATCTTGAATCTCACTATCAATTCAAGTGCATTATACTAATAATACAGAAAAAATTTTTAGTGAGATTAAGCAGCTAGGATTATATTTTAAGTGGGAGAAAAAAAGCTGATAAATCACACATAGTCAAATTAAAGTAGTAATCTTTTTTAATTTTTCACGCTTTAATCCTGTATCAATAGGTTAAGAAAGTAAAATTTTCCAAAGTACTGATTTGTATATAATGTTTAGAAGTGGCACACAAAACATTCAGTTTTGCAGAGTAATATTCAGTGATCCCTCTAAATGCAGTTTTAATCCTGATTTTAAGCTAAATACAATAATAATATAATACAATAAGCTAAATACACACAAAACCTGTGTATCCTGATCTACACAAGTGGTTTCCACAGTCACATATGGTTTTAATCAAGTACACATTTCCACAATGAACAAGTACTAACAAATGTTAATAAAACACCACCCAAATGCTTATCCTGCCATCAGCTTTTAAGCAATGCCATTCCTGCTACTGAAAGCATTTGTTTTTATTTAGAAGGGAAATCTGACCTGGGAAAATGAATTTTCTTAAAACTTGACAAATCATATAAGCCCAAAAGGTTTTAAATCAAAAAGCTTTCAACACAAAAGCACTCACATGCAACTTTTAGTTTCTCCCTCCCAAAAATCACTTTATCGAAAGAATATTGAAACAAATTATTACCTTAAGACAGATAAACACTCCTACAAAAGACTGTATTTTCTTCTATCACCTTCTCCTTAAAAAGAAACAGACCATTTCACTATCTTTTAATAACTTCTCAGATTGCTGCAGCCTTAAAACTTTCGAGTTTTAGCTATCATGTCTTAGCTATCATAAAGTGAAAGGTGCCATTTAGATTTCATATATTAAAGAGCATGGCCTACAACGGCACAAATACACCTGATACATAAATACTACATTATTTAGACAGTCAAAAATCAGGAGATACTACATGGTTTGCAAGATCCTTCGGCTTATGTGTGGTCATTAAAACCCAGTAAGTAATTCAGGTATGCTAGTATGGCAGGCAATTAAAGTTTCAAACATCACTCTAAGATCCAAGACATGAAAATAAAGGTGGAAAACTTTGTGCTTCTCCATCTTTCACTTACATGGCTAGTTATCGGGACTTGACTACGGAAAATATATGGTTATTATATATGGTCTCCTCAGATGATAAGGAAGCTTCAGAAAGTTCAAAAGTTGTCAAGATCCATAGTTTGCTTCATCAAATGCTTTTCTAGCTCGTTTCAATTCTTCATTCATAGTAAGCAAGTCTTTAACCCTAGCAAACTTCCTTGGGTCCTTTCGAATCAAGAAGACGATATCTTCAACTTGTACCCGCCCTTGTCTTCCAATTGACATTGCCTTGTGAGTCTATTACAAAGAAACACATTAAATTCAATTAACTTTTAAAAAATGTAATATTTTACTTTTAATTTGCATGTATACATTATTCTTCTTTAATCTGCATGTTTACTACTGGTGAGTTTAAAGCTTTTTCTCTTCTGTTCCAGCTATTCATTTGTGAATTGTCTTTTATTCATGTCCTCTGTCCACTTTCTACTGTGTGATTAGCAATGTTTCTCTTAGTCCTTTAGAGACATTTTTTAATATTAAGGACATGAAAGCTATCGTATTTATTGCTGTTTCTTTTTTTTGTTTTTTGACATATGTAGTTTTTGCCATCACTGTGTAAAATAATTTTGTAATTTCTTTGTAATCACCCATTTCACTTAAAATTTGTGTCCATCTCAATGTTGGTGGGTTTTCTTAAAATCAAATCTAATCCCCCTACCATTATATATTTATCCTGTGCAAAAACAAAGGTTCATCACAGCATTATTTCTAATGACTAACAAACGGCAAACTAGATATTAAGGCTTTAAATAAATTTTGAGCACATCCACTCAATTAATATTATAAAACCATTAAAAATATAGAGTATCGCCTGGCCAGGCATGGCTCAGCAGTTGAGCATCGACCTAGGATCCAGGAGATCGAGGTTCAATTCCCGATCAGGGCACATGTCCTGGTTGAGGGCCTGATCCCCAGCAGGAGGCATGCAGGAGGCAGCTGATCAATGACGACTCTCTCATCATTGATGTTTCTCTCTCTCTCTCCCTCTCCCTTCGTCTCTCTGAAATCAATAAAGACATATTTATATATATATATATATATATATATATA